TTATTATTATTGTTATCGTTATTACTATTATTGTTGTTTATAATTGTTGTTTATAATTTTTACAATTAACCTCCCTGTGGTTCGACCCCGGTCTTGCCGGGTTATTTATTACTTCGACACTCCTGCACTTGGGAGAAGACATCAATCTTTTAGTCGTGTCAAAGGTACAACCTGTACATATTGATATTAGAAACGACCCAGCTCATTGTTGCTTAGTTGAAGGAGAAATAGACGGAAAGCCTTGGTATTACGATATCAAGAATCTTATGCAGAATCATGAATATCCGGTGGGAGCTTCTAAAACGGATAAGAAAACCTTGAGAAGGCTGGCTATAGACTTCTATTTAAATGGAGATATTTTATACAAAAGATCATTTGATGAAACCTTGCTAAGGTGTTTGAATGAGACAGATGCTAGAAAGGTATTGCGAGAGGTCCATGAAGGAATTTGCTCAACTCATGCTAGCGGGCATATGATAGCAAGGAAAATACAAAGGGCGGGTTATTTTTGGATGACATTGGAGAAAGATTGCATCGATTATGTCAGGAAATGTCACAAGTGTCAAGTTTACAGTGATAAGGTCAATACATTGCCAACTCTATTATTTAATCTAATATCTCCCTGGCCATTTGCAATGTGGGGGATTGATGTAATCGGTCCTATTAACCCAAAAGCTAGCAATGGGCATAGATTCATCCTTGTGGCTATTGACTACTTCATAAAATGGGTGGAAGCAAATTCGTATGCCTACGTAACACAGAAGGTAGTGAAGAGGTTTGTAGAAAAGGACTTGATTTGTCGATATAGTCCTCCAGAAAAGATAGTGATCGATAATGCACAGAATTTCAATGGCAAAATGATAGTGGAGTTGTGTACCAAATGGAAGATCAAGCATTTGAATTCCTCGCCATATTGGCCAAAAATGAATGGAGTAGTAGAAGCCGCCAACAAGAACATAAAAAAGATTATTCAGAAAATGGTGGTCACATATAGAGATTGGCATGAGATGTTGCCATTTGCTCTCTATACATACCGCACTACTGTCAGAACCTCGACAAGGATTACCCCATATTCTCTGGTGTACGGTATGGAAGCAGTGATGCCATTGGAAGTAGAAATCCCGTCGTTGAGAGTATTGATGGATTCCGAACTAGAAGAGGCTGAGTGGGCTAAAGTGAGATATGAACAACTGAACCTGATCAGCGAAAAGAGGATAGCTACAATATGTCATCATCAACTTTACCAGAAACACATGGCCAAGGCATATGATAAAAAGGTTAGACCACGGGTATTTCAAGAAGGGGATCTAGTGTTGAAGAAAATATTGTCATTACCCAGAGAAGATCGAAGCAAATGGTCACCAAATTACTAGGGTCCTTACATAATAAAAAAGGCATTCTCAGGAGAAGCGCTAAAGTTGGCTAGAATGGATGGAGCAGATCTAGTTAGGCCTGTGAACTCCGACTCTGTAAAAAGATATTATGCTTGATGTAGGCTCCTAAATCAATAAAGCAAAGTTTAGCCATCGACTTTCTTTTTGCATTGATCTCATAACACTCAATTGTGCATTAGTCCTAACAGTGCGTTTTTTAATTGTCTCATCACTCACTAAAAGGTTTATTGATTAGTACTCAAAAGTGCATTTTTATCACGCTTTTATATCATCATCTTGCACTTGAAG